CCCCCCCCCCTCTCCCATTGAAAAATCCCTAAAAGAGAGTCTGGAACATTAAACTAAAACCAACTGACTTAAACTGTCTTAAAGTTTGATCAATTTTGTTTTATTTTGAGAACTTCAACCACGTGTTGCGTGCACGAAAAACCTTCAAATTATCCACGACTTATATTCACACCCTGTCCGAAACTCAACGTACCTGCCGCCACTGACTAGGTCAGTTTTCATCACGACTTAAGTTCGTGAATCAAGATTTTACGTGTTTTGCATAGTCTTAAGCTCAATGGATTTTCGCTCGTACGTCGTGCCTCGCATATCTATCACACTGAGTTCATCAATGGATCCCGCGGAATACCCCTTTCAGAAAGTATCTCACCTTGGCTATGAGCCTATGTAGAGACTCGCCTTTATGATGCTTATCTGTTTTCCAGCTCAACTTAACATGACCATAAATCTCACCCCCTTTAGCAGGATGAGGTAATAAATATATAAATATATAAATCTGTAATTAAAGTGGTAATTATGATATTTACAAATATAAAATACATTATTTTACATGTTGTGTTCAGCATTTTCAGCCAGACAGAAAACGTATGAAATATTATACAATACCATGTGTCTGTACTCTGTTTTAAACTATACAACTGAGTTCTCCCCGATACAGATAGAGAACGTAAATGTATGAATTACATGCATGAAAGGATTATCATATTAATAAATTATATTGATTTAAAACATTATAAAATTAATGTTATTGTCACATAGTGTTGAAGCTGTCTCTCAATCAATAATACATTTAATCGTCTGGAAGAGATATGGTAACCTCATTTCTTGATGAAAAATGTACAATAATTTACGTCTTCGTGATTCCATTCATTTTGAAAAAAGGAAAACATTCTGTCACACAGTTCATCATAGTCAATAAAATAACGAAGGTTATATAGGAAACTCGGTGAAATTCGTGAAAATAAAGAGAAATAAACTCATCTATTCATGGTGACCGTAATCCTCTATAAAGCCTGAAGGATCAGATTCTTCCAGAATTATTTGACCCAAATATTGGAAGTGAGATTGGGCCTGACAATTTAATCTCAATTAAAGCCTTTCATAGGACGCTTATTTGAAAAGGGGGCTCGTCTGACAGGGGCTCTTAATAGAGAGTGGGTCTTATAGATTTAAACCAAATGTTGCAAGTGGGGGATGGGAAAGGGGCGGCGCCTATTTGAGAGAACGTGTTTGAGAAGGTCAGGGGACTTGATAGAGAATTGACGGTATGAGTAGTTTGATGAACGTGTTCATTGTTTCATTAGTCTTCATCACGTTTCAACGTCGAATGCTCGAATTTACACAATTATCAAAGGTGTGGTCTCTTTGATGCCATACTTTGCTTTATTTTGCTGGAACAACTCGTTCAAAGATGCAACGTATTGATTGTGAACCTTGTTTACGTGACGCCGAGAAGGATTCGTCCTTTTCTTCACATGAATTGGAGAGCCAACTACAGATAAAAAAATTACATTGATGAGTCAAAATATAGATTTAATACAGAATACCTTTCACGATTGGATAGTATTTTGTATAAAAATCTTCAATATGCGGCCCATTTGATAGCCAGAATTCAGAAGGTAATCTATTATAACTGGAATTATATGGGCTTGGAACAGGTAGCAACTATTAGCATCAAATGGTATCTTACCAATTGTGTTGATTGGCTTTTGATGTGGAAGCACAAAAAGACGTCCAAAGAATGGAACTGGTGCAAATGATATAATTTTTTGAATGGCATTTTGATATCGACGCAATCTTGATTCTGGTGGATTACGAGGTTGAGTGAATAAATCATTTTCCCCAAAAGATATCACTGGAACAAGGGACGCCCTGAAAAAGTATTTTTAAATACAAATTAGCTGATAATTTATGCCTGGTAATCACAATCTATATGGCCATTTTTATGGAACTATGGGATCCATTTGTTCCATAGTAGAGTGATTTGTTGTTATTGAGACTGGTTCGAGGAACTGCAGGGGTTCGGACCCCGAATACACATAAAACGAAAGCACACTTTACAATTTTGTAATTTTGTTACTATTCCAACCCCCTAGTACCCATGTTGACCATCTGTTAACCATGTTGACCTTTGAGTAATGGTCTCTTCTATCTAAGATACTGTATAAGCAGAAAGGACCACTAACGAAGACTAAAGATAACTAGTTCAAGGATGTTGGTGACTCACCCGGTACGTATAGCCATTTTGACAAATCCCTTTCTATTTTTCAAAGTCAACTTGTAAAACCCAGGGTGTGCATCAAGTGACTCGGCTGCTCCGCCAACGACAACAATGGCAATATTACCACGACCTTGTTTGCACAAAATCTGTTCAAAACTTTCTCTGGAAACGTCGCAGAGACCCAAAGCCATCAATAAATCGCGGAAAAGGGGAAACCAATACAGC